TGAGCCCCCCCCAGACCAGGGGCACCTCCGTGAGGACAACCCCGCCCCCACTTCCAACCAGCGGGGACACCCCAGTTGGCCAGGCCTGCACCCCGGCTGCCATGGTTCTGAGTCAGTGCTCGCAGCCGACAGAGGAGCTGGAAGTGGCCGCAGGGGCTGCTCCGTGAGGACAACCCCGCCCCCACTCCCAACCAGTGGGGACACCCCAGGTGGCCGGGCCTGCACCCCGGCTGCCATGGTTCTGAGTCAGTGCTTCCCTGGGGAATCCCGGCCCCAAGACGTGCCAAGAATGTGATCAGCTCCTCAGGACTTGGGGACCCCCAGCCCCCGCTCCCGCGACCCCCAAGGACAGACAGCGCACAGGCAGGCAGTGCTGCCCGAGGGCAGACGGTTTATTAGAGCCGCACGGGGATCAGCGGTTGGACTTGGCCACGCGCTCCAGCTCGTCTTTCTTCTTGATGGCGTAGGAGTTGGAGGAACCCTGCGGGGAGGGAGGCACGGGGTTAGCTCCGGTCGGGCAGGACCCCCCCTCAGCCCCCACCGTGTCCTCACCCACCTTGGCCGCGTTGATGAGCTCATCTGCCAGGCACTCAGCGATGGTCTTGATGTTCCGGAAGGCAGCCTCGCGGGCACCCGTGCACAGCAGCCAGATGGCCTGGGGAGCACAGGGGTCGGCTAAGCCTGGGGCAGAGGACACCCCACACCAGGCAGGGCCGGTCCATGGGCCCCCAAGGAATGCTGGCGACCACACTGCCGCCAGGTCTGGGGTCAGACTGGGGCCACTAAAGTGTAGACACAAAGGGTCCCCGATTCCTGGAGATTGGAGACCTGCCATGAGAGGGTGCACTCCCAGCCTGGACCCTGGATTGAAAACGAACAGCTACAGGGTGCTGGGGACGGCTGCATAAACAGGACAGAGGGAGCCCTAGACCGGGAGATGGTGGGATTAGAATATCCATGTTCTCTGAGAATGTCGTCAACTGATCCTCCAATGGTCCCAGAAACACAGTGACAAAATATACACCAGAATCAAACGGCACCTCAGCCCAATGCCGCCCCAAAGGTCCAGAGCTGGGATCTGCCCTGCACGGGCAGGAATCCAGGAAGGCTTCCTGGAGGAAGTGACACTCCAAGTAAAGCATGCGACTGGGCGAACCTTCCCACTGGCCAGCCCCTGCCCTGGGCAGAACTCCTCTGACTGCTGTGCCTGCCCAGCCACGGGGGCCACAAGCCCAGGCCCACCTGATTCACACGGCGCAGCGGGGACACGTCCACAGCCTGTCGCCTCACGGTCCCAGCACGCCCAATTCGGGTCGAGTCCTCCCGGGGGCCACTGTTGATGATGGCGTTCACCAGGACCTGCAGGGGGTTCTGGGAGAGAGGGGAGCTAATGAGCCCGAGGCAGGCCAGGACCCGTCCATGGTCACCCCGAAACCCCGAAGGCCCCCAGCGCGCACTGTGGGTGGCGGCTCTGCCCTGGCCCCGCCTACCTCGCCGGTGAGCAGGTGGATGATCTCGAAGGCGTGCTTGACGATGCGCACGGTCATGAGCTTCTTGCCGTTGTTGCGGCCGTGCATCATCATGGAGTTGGTGAGGCGCTCCACGATGGGGCACTGCGCCTTGCGGAAGCGCTTGGCCGCGTAGCGCCCGGCGCTGTGGGGCAGGTACTTGGCATACTTCTCCTTCACCGCGATGTAGTCCTGGGGCAGAGGGAGGGACCCGTCAGGGCAGGAGGGACCAGCGGCCCCAGGCGACCACGGGTCGGGTCTGGCTGTGAGCCCGACTGTGCAAGGAGAGGGCGGGTGGAGGACTAGAGAGAACACACCATACTCCCCAGCTCTTTAGAACGTGCACCTCAAACTGCACATGGACGTTTTGAGTTAGACGCTGTGGGGGCTCGGGGCTGTGCTCTGGTGTGAAGGAACCCTCTAACTTCTGAGACGGTGCTGGTTTTTTAAAATACGTTTTTATTAATTTTAGCGAGGAAGGGAACAGGAGACTAAGAAACATCGATGTGACCGATATAAACACTGATGGGCTGCCTCCTGCGTGCTCCCCACCTGAGACTGAGCCCAAAACTCGGGCATGTGCCCTGACCAGGAAGCAACCTGGTGCATGGGACCACGCTCAACCAACTGGGCCACACCAGCCAAGGCTCAAAATGTGGTTTTTTTCTTGTTTTTTAATGGATTGATTTTAGAGAGAAGGAAGGGAGAGAAACACTGATTTGCGGTTCCACTTATCTATGCATTCGTCGGTTGGTCCTTGTCTGTGCCCTGGCTGGGGATCAAACCCGCAACCTTGGCACATGATGCTCTAACCAATGAGCTACCTGGGCAGGGCCCGAACCGTGGTTTTAAGAATCACACAGAAGTCCTTCCTATACATACATTTCCCAAGAAAATGTCTAGAAAACAGGAAAATGTTGGGGACGGGTTGGAACCAGGAACTGCAGTGTGGCCACAGGTCTCAACAGTCCTGTGAAACATGCCCCAGGCCTCTGACTCACACATGGACACAGCCCAACAATGCTTATCTAACGACACAAGCAGCGCTGGCATCTCAGCGGTTAGAGCGTCACCCCGATACCCAAGGCTGAGGGTCCGATCTCTGTTCAGGCCTCACACAGGAACCAACCAATGAATGAACTGGAACAGCCGGCCAGCATGGCTCAGTGGTTGAGCATCAATCAATGAACCAGGAGGCATCGGATCAATGATTCTCTCTCATCATCGATGTCTCTCTCTCTCTCCCCCTTCCTCTCTGAAATCAATAAAAATGCTTTAAAAAAAATTGGCACAATTGATGTTTCTCTCTCTCAAGTCAATAAAAGTTTCAAAACATAATAAAATAAAAATACAAGCAGTAACAGGGAAAGGACAGAGGATGATGAGGCTGGTGTCTACGCGGAGGGAACCACCTGCACGAGGCAGGTGACCGGTGGGCGTGTTCATGTCTCTGCCGGGCAGGTGACCCTGCGGACACAGCCGTCCCATCGAGAGTCTGGTTCATGGGCCCCGGCCCAGGGCAGAGAGAAAACCCGGGGCCACAATGACACCTGCTTCCCCGTGAGGGCACCAGGGAAAAGTGAAGACAGATTTAACAATTTTCACGGGCTGTACACACACATGACAGAGACCACAGGCGACCCTGAGACTGAAACACTGACTATGTTGTCCTTTGAGTTTGCAGACCTGCAACGTAGCCCATGAAGGAAAACCATCCACAAGACATTCAGAGTGAAAAAACGGGGCCGAGTTCTCCAACAGGCAGAGGGCCCAGGCCCCAAATACATGCAGAGGCAACAAAAATGCTTCTTTTAAACGAGAAGGGGAAACAATAAAGATAACCCCACCTGGATTTTGTTTATCTCCGTACAAACGCAGTCACAAAGTACTTTTTGTTTTGTTTTGTGAAGGGCCCACAAGAGCGATGCTGAGGCCAAGTGGACAATGTATGGGGGTGAGGCACCGCGGGAGGCCTCCCAGTGCAGCCGCAGCAACAGACCGTCAGGCGTGAGGACAGTCAAACGGAAAGAGTCAAAGGAGCGGGAATCACGGCAGCCGCAGCAACAGACCGTCAGGCGTGAGGACAGGACCGTGAAGACAGTCAAACGGAAAGAGTCAAAGGAGCGGGAATCACTCCGGCCCGTTTGCTCAGGGTCTCGGGTTTGATTCCAGGTTAAAGGTACCCCAGTTGCAGGTTCCCCGGCCCCAGTTGGAGCACATGTGGGAGGCAGCCAATCGATGTCTCTCTCACTTAGATATTTTTTTCTCTCTCTATCTCTCTCCCCCTTCCGCTCTCTTTAGAAATCAATGGAGGAAATATCCTGGGTGAGGATTTTTTTTAAAAATAAGAAGAGTGCAGGAATTCAAGGGTGCCACCACCATTCAACAGGGGAAATACCCTTTAACAAACGTTGCTTGGAAACATGCATATAGTGTATAAAAGAGATTTAAATTACAAATATCCTATGGCCTAAGTTTGTTAAAATGGGCAGAACTGACAGGCAAAACTAGATGGTGCTGAGACATGCAAAAGAATGATGTTGGACCCTTGCACTTTAAAATGACTGCCATGGTGAATTCTGGGTTATGCGTGTTTTACTAAAAAACTGCAGCGCCCTGGCCCCAGGCTCAGCCGGCTGGACTGTCAGCTGGACACCAAAAGGCTGTGGCTCAGTCCCTGGTGGCGGCATGTGCAGCAGGCAACCAACCCATGGGTGTTTCCTTCTCCCTCTAAAATCAGTAGGCAGCCCGGCCAGCGGGGCTCAGTGGTTGAACGTTGACCTATGACCCAGGAGGTCAGGGTTCGACTCCAGGTCAGGGCACAGGCCTGGGTTGCGGGCTCCATCCCCAGTGTGGGGCGTGCAGGAGGCAGCTGATTGATGATGATTCTCTCTCATCATTGATGTTTCTCTCTTCCCCTCTGAAATCAATACAAAAAATATTTTTTTAACTTTAATTTTTAAAAATATATTTTATTGATTTTTACAGAGAAGATGGGAGAGGGATAGAGAGTTAGAAACATCCATGAGAGAGAAACATCGATCAGCTGCCTCCTGCACACTCCCTATTGGGTATGTGCCCGCAACCAAGGTCCATGCCCTTGACCGGAATCGAACCCAGGACCCTTCAGTCCGCAGGCCGACGCCCTATCCACTGAGCCAAACTGGTTAGGGTTATATATATATATATATTTTTATTGATTTCAGAGAGGAAGGAAGAGGGAGAGAGAGAATGAAACATCAATGATGAGAATCATTGATCGGCTGCCTCCTGCACGCCCCCTACCGGGGATGGAGCCCGAAACCCAGGCCTGTGCCCTGACCTGGAATCGAACCCAGGACCTTCCAGTCCCTAGACTGACGCTCTATCCACTGGGCCAAATTGGATAGGGTAATAAAAATATATTTAAAAGAAATAACAATAAAATCGACAAGCATTTCCTCCGGTGAGTATTAAAAAACAACAGGAAACTGTAGCAGCCTCTGCTCAGGACGGAGGGGGGCGGGGCGGGGGTGTGTGTGGTCCAGGCGTCTCCAGTCCACCTGTCACTCCAGCTCAGGGCCAGCAGGGCAGCTCCACGTTCCGAGTGAC